CAAGTATAAAATGAAACTGGATGTGGCGGTGCATGCCCATAATCCCAGCACTAGAGAGGCTGAGGCAGAAAGATAGACGCAATTTACCACCAATGTAAAAGGTCCCTTCAATTCTCTGAAAGGTGAAACGTGTCTTAGTTGTACACTAACTAGATCAAGATGCAAATGTAAACAGTTTCAATGGTAAGATAAAGACCCTTGTTAAGGAACAGGGAGGTAGAGTATGTTGAGATAGGGATTATACATGATCTCTGAAATGAATGTGTAAAGTATGCATTGCAAACATCTATAAAACTAGAAGATTATTTTCCAACTTTGATGTCTGCAATTCCAAATCCATTCAACAATATCTGTTGAGGGCTGAAGAGACAGCTCAGCAGCCTAAGCGCCTGCCTCGCAACCACAAGGTCCCAAGTTTGATCCCCAATACAACATGCTGTGCTGGCCCCAGAACCCCAGGCACACCACGCCGGCCACCGAAATCAGGAGTGGCGGTGCAAGCCTGTAATCCCAGCACTGCAGAGGCTGAGATAGGAGGATCACAACACGTCTGAGTTGCATAGTGAGACCTTGTACCAAATAAATAAATAAATTTTTAAAAATATTAAAAACTATCTATTAAGCAGCTACAGGTGGCAAAAGCACTATGTTAACAGAAAACTGAAAGTTTACAGAAAACGTTGTAAAGCATGTTTATAAAACATGATCTGTAGATAGACGATAGACTTTTGGACTAAAGGATAAAAAGATTATTTAACTGTCAGGAATAAAAGGGAGACACATGATATGTAGCTTGTCCTGCTTTCAGGGAGGAGCAAAGTGGAGATGCTGTTCCATTTGATATGGAAACACTGATACGGAAAAGCTTGCGGATTTTAAGGGTTATAATTCAGTAAAAATAATTTCTCTGGACACTTGCCTTTCTTTCTTGAAAAGTTTGAAGAAACTTTTATCTACTTTTTAATAGTTCTTTTTATCAGGGAGGTGTGAAGGCTTAAAACTTTCTGATGTTGAGAAATCATCACGGGTCTTAATTCCTAATCCTAGGCAGACATAACCGTGCCTCTACAGGGACTGACCCATATTCCTGAGGCTCCATAAATTGCACACAATGTCACATAAAATGACAGGGAAACATGCCATAAGCATACTGAAAGTGCTACTTTGGTAGGACTGCCTCTAAACTTCATCTTTTCTTTTTTTTGGCGGAACTGGGGATTGAACTCAGGCCCTTACACTTGCCAGGGAAGCGCTTATTCTACTGAGCCATCTGCCCGGCCCCCTTAAACTTCATCTTAAGAGAGAATGAAAAAAAACAAATGAATTGGAAAAGGACCCAGAACCCAAGGAACACCAACAGTTGCATGTAATAACAGTGCTTGAGCGAAGAAAGACATGGAGAGTAGCATAATCTTAAGATAATTCCAAAAGATATTTTAGACTTCATTTTCTGGAGCTATTGAACAGACTCTCTTTCTCAAAAAGAGTTTAAGCTGACCGTTTCACCCAAGAAGGCCAAAATTAGAGGAAATGACTGGAACCGATTGGCAGGTGATTTTTTTTCTTTATTAAAAAAACTGATGCAACTTTGGGAGCTGGTGCTCTCTCTCATCCGATTACTCAAGGGTAGATTAGGGGAAAAGAGCAGAATATTTACAGGGTTTGAGTGTTTGAATTCCACCCTTAAGTCTCAGTAGGAGCAGTACTGCCCCCTTGAGGGTGTTTGGAGATTTGCAGGGATACTTTAATCACTTCAGAATCCCATAATGGTCAAAGTATTTTTTAAAAAGTGTCTTATGTGTTTCATTCTATATATCTTTAAAATATCCCTGAAAAATCAGTACACCATCAATATAAAATATGTACACTTTTGCATGATAATATTGGAAATTTTTCAAAAAGTAAAATAATTTAGAAAAAAGTTGTCATGAAGGATATTTAAATTGCTCATTAAACTATTATTTAAAAAATAACTTCATGATTTACTCATTCTGTTCATAGTATCTATTCAGAACATCATGTATTTTCAGTTATATGTATAATTTTGAAGAGTTTTGGTATGTGAATTTAGTTTTTGTTATGGCAAATATGAATCAAGAAAAAAAAAAGGTTTATGAGTTGGTGTTCCATGTATTGAGCTGGAGAGAAATGCATTGTGTTTTGTTCAGTTTAAAATTATCTAAGCACTTTATAAAAGTATCTCATGGGCAACAGTGCTATCAATGGTACTGATGCTACTAATGAAATGCCCCTGTGTGAGGATTTACTCAGAGCTGCATATACAAACTTAGAGAGTAGCAGAGATGATGTGGAATGGTTAGGAACAGATGGAAGTAAACATTAAAAGTTAGCAGACATCTGACACAGTGATGTCAGGGAACTGCATGAACTGTTTGGAAAAAGTTGTGTTACTGCTATTCCATTTACTTTAATTTTGAAGATATGAGTATGATGAAATCACTGCTGTGAATATCATATACTAAAGTTGAACATATCAATACTTGATGGAAAATACCTGTTCCATGTTATACCTAAGATGTTTGATATTCAGACAATGAGGTTAAACCCAACTGCATATGTTGTAGGGTAAAAATAAACTTCTCTTCTGGAGGGTTAACAACCTAAGTTTGCAGACTAAAAAGCAGAGAAGAAGAAGGGCTGCAAGGACAGCCAACATTTTGGCCCTAGCCTTTCAAGGTCAGTGAGGATTCAGGACATAGAAGAACCTGTACTGTAACATCATGTAACTCAATTGTGTCCCAGATTTTCTGATCAAGGAGATTATGGGGCCACAGAGGAAAGTGATCGATAATGTAGAGTGTGCCTAAGGAAAGTCACATGGAGAGAAAACATTCTCTCAGGCTTTCACAGAGAGCAAATTGGTCAAGCAATGGCCATGACTTATCCACAAGGCTGACACTGACAAAGGATCTATAAACTGCAGTATAGGGTTTCAGGTTAAATCCTGAGGGGATTTGATTGACCTTATCAGATACAAAAGTTATATTTCTTGTTACATAGGTCTTGCTTTATCTTGGCCTTAATTATCCAGCAGAAAAGTATGAAAACAAAGTATAAAAAGTAAAGCCAAATTAATATGCTGAGCTGTAAAAAGCTCAAGTGAACAACTTTGGACATTGCCAGTCTTCTGGAAAACCCACTATTGTTATGGACTATTGGACTGTATTGGGAGATTCTGCTGAATTCAAGCACCTACTTAATATTTAAATGACAATGGAATGCTCTTCTCTGACAAAACTAACCAAAACAGTGGAATAGAAATGAACGACTCTTTTGTATCTGTATACTCAAAATAGTTAGGATAGACATACAGCTACATTCTCTTAATTTAATGAATAGAGAAGTTTGTTATAATAGTGTTTGAGACAGGATATCATGTCTGCATCTTGTACAATGAATAACCACTAAGACAACAATATGCAATATATTAATTTTTGTAAATGTGCCAGTAATCGGTTGTGAAACAGTCTCACTGATATTTGTTTCTCAATAAAATTATTTAAAAAATCATATATTGATATGTTATGTATTAATTTTGAATGAATAAAATTTTGCATTTGTACTGCTGCAAGAAGTCGACCACACAACTTGGCGCCAACTCATCCACTAGGGCCTGCGGCCAACTATAGGATACCATCTCCAAGATCTCTTTTCAATTAGTAGCAACAATAGTAGTATCCCTTAGTAAATCGTAGCTTTGAAGGATGAAGGTGTGACTCATCCTTTTAACTGTACATGTTCATGGGGCATAGTGTTAGATTTCAATATTTGAATACAATCTATAGTGATTAAATCAGACTAGTCAGCATTTCTATCTCCTCTCCGTTAGTTTATCCTAAAGGCACAGAGTACCTATTCTCTAGTTTTCCATCATCCATAATAGGTCACTGTGAACCATGGTCACCCTACTATGCTAGAGAACACTAGACTTTATTGTCTGTCTACCTGTGTCTTGCATCTGTTATCTAACTTTCCTTTATTCCTTCTGCCTAAAGGAGTAGTCACACCATCCAGTAATCATCCAGATGTACTTTTGGTACACAGTGTCACTTACAAATTGTGTATTCTCATATAAAGAATAGAAAGAATTATTCTGACATCACACTATATAATCATTTTAATCTCATTTACAAGACTGTCATACTTTCTTCAACACTTCCCTCATCTGTAGCCAACTGTTCTCCTTGACATGCTATCTTTACATTAGTTATGTTCATTTCCTTTACTGTGTAATCGTATTTGCAAAGAATTCTAGTTTCTGATGACTCATCCTACTTCTAATTCTATTTTAGAATATATTTATATCTATACGGTGTCATTTACTTATTATTTAATCTTGAATTGCTCATTCCCCCATGTATTTTTATACTCCCAAGGGCTACTGATCTAGTAACTTTTCTAGAAACTCAAACTTACTCATTTTACCCATGGTGTAGGCATCAGGCAATTTCATTGTCTTTCAGAGTAGTATTTGCACATATGCATTAGGAATCTATATTATTTTTAATAAATCATTTTTCTTTCTTCTTGATTTTATATCAGAGTTATGATGTTTTTCCAAATATGAAAAGCAGTATACAGGTAATTTTATCTATGTATTTCTATTTAAGATAATAACGAGAACATTATATAATATTTATTTGTAAAGAAAATGTTGTCTGATAGGTTTAAAACAATGCACTAGGTGTTCTCTGAGGTCCTTTCAACCCTAAAATTCTTAAATTACTTGGTTCCTCTGATAAAGAAAACATAACACCTTTGGTTCACAAAACAGTAGATCTCCTACTCCTAAAAACTTATTCCAAGTTGAAAATGGTCTTTTGGTAACACGAATGTCTATTTTCTATGTGTAAAAGTGAATTAGCTATTTTACTATTATTATTTCGTTCACTCAAAGAACTCCTGCTGGGTCACATGGTGCCAACACTGGTTCTCCCAGCAGGACTCCCTGCACGCCCACACCTGTGCACTCGCCTTACCCAATCTGACTAGGTGGAGTGTGGAGGTATTGCTTCCTCTTTCAGTACAAGCTGTGACTGAGAGATTGTAGATGTCCCCCGGAGGCAGGCTGAGGATTGCGGTCATGACATTGCGTGTTACCTGAAAGATCATCAAAATCAAGGACCCGAAGTTGGAATGAAAAAGGTAGCACACCACTCTACACAACTACAAGGCTACAACAGGCATACCGTTTCTGCTCCATGCAATAATCCATTGGTTATATCATGGGTAAATTATGTTATTTGAAAATCCCATACATTCCTCAACTGGGTAGGATGCAAGGTAATTTAAAAATTCATACCATCTATCATCTAGAAAAATGTTATAATTCATTCTCTTATTTGGAATAGATATTACTACAGTATTTTCCCACATATAACAGAATTGAGAAATACAAAGACAATAGCTGAGTTACTAACACCATACATTCTGCGACTCTCAGAAGAAACCTAGCTATGTTCAAAGATGTATGAGTTTCTACAGGAAGACTATGTTTCCAGTCCTCCCATACAGCTAGAGGGACCACGTGACCTAAATCTGACCAATGGAAAGTAAGTGGAAGTCACATGGATAGGTGCTGTTCAGTTCCCAAGGGCTGGGCTTCCATGTGCTCTCCTTTCCCATCCTATGTGCTGGAGAAGCAATGTAACATTAAATCTTCCCATGGGCAGATGGGAATTCCTATCTGGATTAGATGAAGCAAGAAAGTAGAGAGGACCTAGGCAACCTTTAGACCAGAGATGTCTGTTGACCCAGGTCTATGTTAGGAAATGGACATAGATCTCTCTCTCTCTCTCTCTCTCTCTCTCTCTCTCTCTCTCTCTCTCTCTCTTTGTATTTTAGGGAAAGGTCTACTGGGTGTTCAGGGTCTCACTACTAGATTGGACTTGTAGTGATCCACCTGTTTACAGCCTCCCGAGAGCTGGCATTACAGGCGTACACCACCACGTCCAGTCTCAATTGCTGTCGCAGTGCACCCCAGGGGCGGGGCTGACACGGCATAGATTTCTATTTTGTTGGAATTTTTTTCTTGTTTTTATTACAGTTGTTTAGCCTACATCCTAATGTTGAAAAGTTTAATAAGCCAGACATGGTGGCACATGCCTGAAACCCCAGCTACTTAGGAGTCTGAGGTAGGAGGTTCAACAGTTCAAGGTTAGCCTGGGCATCTTAGTAAGAACTTGTCACAAAATTAAAAAGTGCTAAGTGTTGGGATGTATCTTAGTGGTCAAGGGTTCCTGGGAAAATACGCACACACAACAACAACAACAACAACAACAACAATAACTTAATAAAGTGGGAGGAGAGAGAGTAATAGTCCGGTGATATGTGGAAGAAACATTGAAATATGTTAATTGTAGTTTTTTGCACAATTCTTGACACCCTAAAGGAAAGCTCCAAATCACAACTGTAAATATGTCTAAAATCCAAGTTTCAGTCAGAGTTTGTTGTTTAGGACCCAAAGGTAAGTTCTATGAAAGGGCAAACAATTTGTGGGGGGCCAACTTATCTCCAGAGCCAAAACTAGTGCCACTTAGCAGGCAAATACTGTTTCAATGTTTCTAGCAATGTTTGCTTAGCAGTTTTCAACAGTGCACCCAACTATATGTCCAAATGTCTGACACAGGGAATCAAAGTAACATACGCTCTTCTTAATTTTCTTCTTTCCCTCGGCAACGACCATCCAGTGCAACATTCTGGAGTGAGACAGGTCAGTTGTGTCATCCCCGTAGGTCCAGCTGATGTATAAAAGACTGTTGAAATATTCCACGGAAGTGATTTCTGGAGCCACAGGGGCTGCACGGGAGAGAACAACCGCCATTTAGGGCAGGAGACTCATTAAAGTTCTTAGGAGGCCAGGGGATCCCCAGTAAATTAGCTTAGGGAATTCAGGTTCACAACACAGGATAGGCCTGCAGCGCCTGGATCCCTCAGGATCAGGATGCGGGTTGGGGGCATGGGTCAGACACATTTCACGGGATCCCGTACTGTGCCTCTGAGACACATTTGTGCACCAGGCTATTAAGATCTTTTATATGAATTACAGTTACAAGATTTTTCTTTTAGATGTTTGCTTGTTTGGGTTATGTAATGAATGATTGAACTACATAGTGTATGTCTAAATGTAAAAAAATTATTATAATAAAAGGTACATCGTCACTAATCACCTTCAAAATACTCCTCCGCGCTTCTGGCGCACTTATTATTCCATCTTGCTCGCCCCTTTCTGAAGCCTCTTTCATGAGTGTGTTTATCAGCTGTGAGAAAAAAGTGCTTCTCATAAAAGTGGAAAGGCGGGGTCATAGACACGTTCTGAGGTGTCCTCGTCTACCTTAATCTCTGCTTCTGGCGCCTTGTGATTTCTAGCTCTCCCCCAAAGTCAAAATGTCCATGTGAGGGAAAAGCTTTGAATTCATCCAGGAGATGGAGGCAGCCATAACAGCCAACTAAAATCACTCACAGAAGAGGATTTCTAAAACTGCCTTAGAAAGTGACAAGAGGGCTGGGGAGATATTTAAGCGTTAAGTGTCTGCCTGGTAAGTGCAAGGACCTGGGTTCGATCCCCGGTACTGTACGTCATGCCAGCCACGGAGACCGTGCATGGTGGTACACGCACCTCTAATCCCAGCACTGGGGAGGCTGAGACAGGAGGCTCACTAAGAGTCTGAGCTGCATAGTGAATCCCTGCACCAAATAAGTAAACAGATAAATAAATAAATGATTAAGAAAAAGAGAAAAGAAAGTGACAGAAATGATGGAATAAATATATTTGAGTGAGGGGGAATGTTTGCATGACGATGTTCCCTTTATTGTAATTCATTTTTTAAAAAGGTAAACATTCACCATATTTTTGATCATCTCATATTTGCTACATCAAACAATTCCTATTAATAGATACTAGCGAATTTATTGTTTAAACAGTATTGGAAAACTTGAGGTCTTGTAATAGTAAATCTCTCTCTTATTTCTGTAAAATAACAAGACAGTGACGGTTATAGCTTCATACTTTGCAGAAAGTAGGCTCTTAAATAAACGCTGCTGAAGTAGTAAAGGAGAGAAGGGATTTTTTTTTTATCATACTGAAAAGCTGAATTCCAATGGCGAACTCATTTTACATTCTAACACATTTAAATTTTTAAAAATTTGTGCCGGATATAACTCAGCAGCATAAGTGCCTGCCTGGCAATTGCAAGGTCCCAAGCTCAACTCCTGGTACCTAAATAAATAAATACACAGATAAATAAATAAAATAAAATTTTGCTACCTGAGTAAAAAAATTCTTTGCCAGCATTATGAAATATGAGCTTTGAGAGTGTATTTCAGTTATTTTTTAAACAACTGGTAATTTTTTTTTTTTTTAAACCAGTGATTGAACTCAGGACCTTGCACTTGCCAGGGAAGCACTTATTCCACTGAGCCATCTCCCAGGCCCCCAAAATGGCAGAAGGCTTTTCTTTTTTCTTTCTATGAAGCTTCCAGTTGCCTTTAGTGCAGGTCTGGTTTGGCTTGAGTACCTGGTCATTCTGAAGATTTGAAGAAATAAATAAGTCTGATTGAGCCTAAGTGGCATGTGAAAGCTGATTCTGAGATGTGGCACAAAGCTAACTAAAATATTTGGCAAAAATTTGTATAAATCATAAAGAATCATGTTTTCTAATGTCTGCCCATATTTATGGCAAATATCCATAGAATTTTTGTTACCTGAACAGAAAGAAAAAAGAAAAATTCCTGGTAGTTGGGAAATAGGACTCGCATTTATTCTGATGGCATGTTTCAGGTTATTCTAATTAAAAACAGCCATGGTTTCTTTATAACTACTCAATACATTCCCAACGCACTTTCCCATATCATTTATACATACATTTCTTCAAAAGACATTTTCTGATGTCTACGTTGAGCAAGGACAAAACAACATTTCAAAAATTTAAAAACCCTACACTTGCACTACATCTTTAGATTTTTGTACCTCAAATTGCTGCTCTAAGATCTAGTGTACTGCTAAAAGGCCACAAGATGTCACTATTTGTTAGTTGTCACTTGGTATTTAGCATCGCTACTATGAACTTGATTTGCGAAGTCACCTAAAAAAGTCGGTAGACCTCAGGGCCTGACAGGTCACAGTTCTTTGTCCCTGTTTCCTGCTGTACTACACAAATGGGAAGCTTATGTTAAAATGCAAAGCACGGGAAAGGAAAGCACGAGGTTTTCTTTCGGAATGATGTGAGAAAGACTCCCACCATGCCCCACCCCTCCGCAGAGCTAGCGTGCTAAGTAGTTTCAAAGAACAAGCATAAATACATATATTTGAATAGTTCTTTCCGTTACATAACTTAGTTCTGACGCTGCACTGTGAGGTAGTATTATAGCCATTTCATGCTAGTGGGAATGGACACTACCTGTGTCAATATTGTAAAACATTAGAGATGATAAATATGATCACAAAGTAGATCAAATCAGAGACCACTGGTGTCAACACGCCTGAGTTGCTTATCCCAGGAAATCGGAAGAAATTCCTGAAGATCTGCTGTACACAGTTGACTGCTTAGGCAAATAGCTCATCCAGTAACCGTGGTTGATCTGGTCTTGTCACACTCCCCCGAACACACCTAATCCAACCTCAGTCAGCTTTCACCTTGAACTACTGGACCAGAACCCCTCCCATGAGGGCACTGAGTCCTGTTACTGTCTTATTTCTGACATTACTCTCTTATCTAGTCCATTCTGAGGCCATGCAAGGACTACGGCTGGTGGTGTCCAATAGACAAAGTTCTGCTCTGTTAACCAGCAGACAGGCAGTGTTTCGGAGAGTTCTATTGACAAAGGAAGCTCCAGATCTTAAAGATAATATGTTCAAAATTCTGCAGCTAGAAACGAGCAGACCCAGGCTCCAACACTGTGTCATTTTCAGAGAGCTTTCCTGACTGAGAAGGGAAACATAATCTCTAAAGTTAATAGAACTGAGCTGTAAGGACTATTAATATAGTAAAATTTATTAGAATTAGATATGTGATTATTAACATAGCCAAGAGATTAATGCAGTGTTTGTCAAATGCCTGCTGTTTTCTCTTCTTCTGTCATTCTTTTACTTATCTATTATAATTTTACTGGCTCATCGAGAGCAGAGTGCTCAGGGTGGTAGTAAAAAACAGTGAGATGTAAATTCATTGAGTAATTCACATCTGATTGATTTTCCTTGTTTTATTGATAAACAGGGTAAAACCAGATGACCAGTGGGGAAAGGATTTTGACAAAATAATTCATTGTCTGAGCAATAGTTTTCTCTTCTGGTTTCTCTGTCCAACAAAAAGTTCTTGAAAATCCTAGTTCAACATTTGAACACAACTCGGGTTAGTGTTTCTCTGATCAACTTCCCTGTTTCATTACTTTCTCTAATGGTTGATGATGTAGTTACATAATTTAAGGCTTTTCAGGATTTAAGACTAATAGTTATTTAAGCTCCTAAAGGCAATGTTATGTATTGTGCTAAGTAGCTTATTCAAGAGCTAAATACAGATAGATGATAATAGAGATAATGCATACCCTTCTCTTCCCATTTTACACATGAAGAAAACTGAGCCTTAGAAAAATTAATTTGCTCCAATTCACATGTGCTCTGGGGCAAAGTTGTGATCCAGGTCCAAGTCTTTCTATCTCAAAAGCCTCTTATCTTCTGCAATGGTCTTTACTACACTGTGCCTGTGACTTTAAAAACTTTTAATTAGTGGGGTCTTGGGTTCAATCCTCAGTAATGCAAGGGAAAAGAAAAGCTTACTGAATAAGGAGGCAATTAGACATGGAAGCTCTCTAGCACACATAACGACTACATGGGTGAAGTCAATGGTGTGCAGTATGGAGCCAAAAACTCGGCTTGCTACACCTCTATGCCAGGCAGTCCCAATGGGAGAGCACAAGGATAGCAACTCAGGATAAAGTTAAGGGGCAGTAAGTCAGAGTAACACTGATATTTTAATTTTCACAGATTATCAACTAAGTAAGTAATGAATGATCTTATCTTTCATGAAACCAATGTTCAATCAGGGGTAGGTGAATGGCCCTTTCTGGAGATGTAACCTCTTAGTATCCAATCAAAAAATCTCTCTCTCTCTCTCTCTCTCTCTCTCTCTCTCTCTCTCTCTCTCTCTCTCTCCTTTCCTCCCTCCCTCCTCTCTCTCCCATTTCCCACACACCACTCACCTGTTATGAAACTTATGGTTGAACTGTCACAACAACTCAACTCTGGATCTCCCCACGTCACCATGGTTACCCGAAAGTTGTAGTACCAGGCTGGTAACAGATTAGCTATTCGCTGAATGAGGAGACAAAAAAAAAAAAAAAAAGCAAGGAGACAAAAGACTAAGAGAAAAAGTGATATTTTTGAAGTAGATTTGCTTTCACAAGGTCAACAAATTAATCCATAATTTTTGTCCTCCTATGTCTTTTGTATTTCTTTTTTTTTCCTGAAATGAAGTGAGCCATAAAATGAAATACAAAAAGATAAACTCAAAGAGTATTCAAAGATACAGAAAATAAATATTTCTATTTTGGCCTTATTTTGTAAGGTCTTAAATTATATCACACAGTGAAAGAGCACTTATTTGTGACTGTACATGAACTGTATCACCTTACTTCTAAGGCAAGTGGCCTCTCATGACTTTGCATTCTTCCAGCGCAGACTGTGAGCTGGGGTGATGCCGGATGGTAATCACCAGGCTCATCTACTGGCTCTTGAGCCAATCAAATTTCATACATACCTTGTGGGTAATTTGAAAACTTATTCCAGATTTAAAGAGCAATTTTTTTCTGTGCTCTTGACAAGCATACTGTCACAACCTAAAATATAGATATTTAGCTGATCTATAGATATCCAGAAGAATCACAAGAGGTAGTGTCAGTGCACTGCTGGAGGCCAAGGGAAACCTTGTTTCTCTTCCTCTGGGAGTGAGAGCAAGAATAAGCTCTTGATCATTCTATTCTGCATTGAGGAAATTCACTAGGAAAAAATGGTTGATTGGTGGGTAATTTCACTTTAGGGAAAAGCTAGTTTCTCACAACTGTCTCCCTTGAAAGATAAAATCAGGCTGAAGAGATAGCTCCATGGCAGCACCTGCCTGGCGAGCACAAGGACCCGCACAAGGACCCGAGTTTGATCCCAGTGCTGCATGATGTGCTGGCCCTGGAACGGGGTGTGGTGGTGCATGCTTTTAATCCCAATGTTGGGGAGGCTGAGACAGGAAGATCGCTATGAGTCTGAGCTGCATAGTCAGACCCTGTATCCAATAAACAAACACAAATGATAAAATCAGAACCAAAAGCATTTAAAAAAAAAATCAACTTAGAAGACCAAAAACCTAAAGCAAAAGCAACTGAAAGTAGAAAGCTACATATGCGCATTGACAAAATGAGTTGATTTACAACCTATTCTGACACATTTGGTCACAGGACAGTGCACCAGTTTCCATAGGGAAAGGAGGCAGCCAGCCAGGGAGGATTACCACGGAGGCTGTTAAGGAGACGGTCGCTGCGATTTCGTAGTAGGTTGTCCACTCAGAAGTCATTGTCACAGGGTTGAAATAAAACATTTCCACCACGTATTTTCTAAATACTCCTAAGTAAGGTCTGGTCCAGCTCAGAACTACTGCTGTGGGTCCCAGGGGGTACAGCATTAAATCCTTTATTCCAGTGGGAACTAAAAAGAAGAGAGGTGGGGAGAGATGGAAGCACATGGAGAAAGAATGGTCAATATCTTGGCAATGACTAATGGCATGCAACTTCAGTATCCATTTTCATCCTCCTGATGTAACTACTAGAAATGAAAATAAATGTATTTGCTTCTAAATTTGTCCTAAATAGTAAATGCATATTTATTAGAATCGTCCCTTTATATCAGCAGGGTCCAAATTTGTGACCTCAGTGACTGATGGATAGAAAATATTCCCCTGCATCTGTGTTGAACATGTGCGTACTCTTTGCTTGTTATTATTCCTTAACCAATATCAACTGTGTAGCATTTAAGCTGTATTAAGTTTTAGAAAGGATTCAGCAATGTAATGATAGCCAAAGGTGTTAGAAGGTCGTGTGTAGATTATATACATATATCATGAAACTTTACATTAAGGGACTGGAACCTCCATGAATTTTGGAGTCCGTGTGTGTGTGTGTGTGTGTGTGTGTGTGTGTGTGTGTGTGTATGTATACACATGTGTGTGTGGTTCTAGGAAGCAACCCCCCTGTGAATATTAAGAAACTACTGCGCTCTGAAGGCATCCAGACTATGGCTTGCCCTCATATAACACTTCCATCTAAGCCAATAATAAGTTGTATTTTACCTTGCACCCCACTTGGGGCTAGCAACCTACCAATGGCAAATGTCACGGGATCTGAAGGTGGTCCAATCAAAGGTCCTTTTCTTAGGTAAACCACAACCTGGTACTGGGCACCAGGAACCAGATTTTCAATAACAGGTTTGCTTGAATTCACCTTTAAAACAAACACCAAGGAGTTTTATTTAGAGCTCGGCTTTCAGAATGTGAGACAGAGCCTGACGTAGTATTCAGAGGCCTATTATTATTATTATTATTATTATTATTATTATTATTATTTTGAGGAACCACAGTTGACTTTGAAATCCCAAAGCCTTTACTCATACCAGCAAAGGTTAGATTTTAAAATTAGGAATGAATTATAGTTTATGTAGACCCTGAAGGGAACCCAGAACGTCCAATTTTATGGCTTGATTTAATAAGCCCCATGAGCTGCTTTGTATGCGTCAATGTCAACTGTAACTCCACACATGAGAAACCCATCAGCGCCTAACCATAATCAAATCAGCAATACCAGAAGGATACTCTGACATCCTAAATTGTAGTGTCAGCTGATTCCACGCAAAGATCAGTGCAGAAGTGTCTTCAGTCGGTCATCACTTAGAAGCACAGAATATCTGATTATAGAAATGGAAATGACCTCAGAGCTTATCCAGTTCAAATCTCTCATTTAATAGATTGAGAAAGTAAACCCAGAGAAGGGCCAAGTTCACATATTTAAAGTCATCGTTGCGACTAGAATCCTGTATTGTGACCTCCAATCTACACTATGAGCAAGTTACTGGAGAAAGCACGAAGATATACTATACTGTATTTGCAAACACTTTATAAGACTGTTGTAACCTTAAAATTAATGTTAGAGTATTTCTCATTTAGATGAACTCATCTTTACTGTCTTTTAAGAAAACTATAGGTTATATACAAATAGAAATGCTATACAGAGAGAAATAGTAGGAATATATAGATAAATATAAAGGATGTATTAAAATTGAATACTAGTGTGCACAAGAATCACTAATTCAGCTAAAGGTTAATAAATGAGCTGCTCTGGGTCAGCCAAATAGCTCAGCGGATAAAGCACCTGCTTAGGCAGAAATAGGGACCAGGAGTTCGAACCCCAGGCGTGCTGAAAGGGCGATTGGGACTGGGCGGGGTGGCCCGCGCCTGTAATCCCAGTGCTTGGGAGGCTGTAAACAGGAGGATCACTATGACTTCAGTCTACACAGTGAGGCCCTGTATACCCTGTCCTCAAAAAAATACAAAAAATTAAAAAATTAAAAAAAAGCAGTGAGCTACTCTGCCTCTTGGAGCTTCTAATATTTAAGACAGGCTTGCTTAGTGGAAAGAATATAAGATCTTGTTTTGAATTTCCTGAAATCAAATCTTGATTTTACTCTCTGTATAAGATTTGGGATAGAGTAATAATTTAAAAATTTTATCTTGGTTTATTCTTTGCTAAAATGTAAGGAACAATACTTGACAGAGTTTTGAGAACACTCAATCCCTAGTATCAACAAACATTAAATCTTTTGATCACATTCTGATCTCTGTGATACATAAAATTGTTGAATTGCTGTAGGAAGGAACACAGATCAATGGAGAACAATAGTGTTGTCAGTTAACATATGCACTAAGTTTTTTTTAAGCATCATTAAAGTTTTAAGGATGAAGAGTACTGGTGACACGCTATGACATTTAAACTGATGATACAAAATAGAAATTGTACAATCTGACTTCCAGCTTGCTCTGTGCAAAAGTAGGAACAACATGCCAACATTTCTTTTCCATTGACGTGAAAAATTAGATTGAATTAATAAATTAGCATTTCCCTTCTTCCTTTGCTATTCGCGCATCACATCAGAATTTCTTGTCCAAGTTTTACATCTTTAATTCTGCTAGGATCCTTACACACAGATTGTTGGCAAGACATGCTCCTCTGAGAGAAACCCTTCAAGACACAAACTCTGAGTGGAGAACATGCTTTGTATACACAGCTAAGCAGGACATGTACTACCCTTTAAGCCAGGCATGATGGGGTGCTTAGCAGCTTGGGACAAGTTTGAGGCCAGTCCAGCCATTTAGTGAGAAACTCTTTTATTTGCCTCAAACAAAAAAGTAAAAAAAAAAAAAAATCTGTGGCTGCAACACAGCACCAGTTTACCACCACCACTACCAGCAAAAAAAAAAAAAAAAAAAAAAAAAAAGTAACTAAAATGAAATACATCCTAAAGACAAAATTACTACATGCTCATTTAAACATTGCTCACAAAGGGCTGGCTAAATAGCTCAGCTTATTAAAGTGCCTGAAAGCAGGCACAGGGGCCTGGGGTTCCATCCCTGGGTCTGTGGGGCCGGCCCCACCCCCAGGTCAAGCTGAGGTGGCAACTGAGACTGGGTGTGGTGACTCGCACCTGTAATCCCAGCACTTGGGAGGCTGTAAACAGGCGGATCACTACAAGTCTGATCTAGTAATGAGAACTTGTGCACTCTGTAGACCCTTCCCTAAAATACAGAAAAAAATAAAAATGAAAATAAATAAAAATTGTTCACAGAAGAGAAAAGCAAATTAAGTAAACTGGAAGTCATCTGTTCTCCATGGGTCAGGTCTTGACATTTTGGTAGGACCTTTTCTAGCCCTTCCTGTAGCAGATGCACATATATGATAAGCTACTCAACCATACATGCTTCAGATAGTCAGCAATGCTCCCAATTTTAAGCTTAACACAGTGCAGATGTCATACCATTCCAGCAGATGTTCACCAAGCTCATTTACCACAATTGCTTATTTAGAATATTTGAGATGGGGCCAGCCAGGATAGCTCAGCAGACTGAAGCACCTGCTTAGGCAGATGCAGGGTCAGAGGTTCAATCCCCAGTGTGCCGTGCTGGCTCTGCCTTTGAGGTGCACTGAGGCAGCGAATGAGACGGGGCCTGGTGGTGTGCACCTGTAATTCCAGAACTTGGGAAGCTGAACACAGGAGAATCTCTACAAGTCCAATCTGTATAGTGAGACCCCATAGACCCTGCTCTAAATAAAATTAAAAAAAGAATATTTGAAATAACCCAAGGCATATAGAGTATAGATTGTTGTAGAGTAACGTTAAAGTTACTTTAGTTTGATAATATTTTCGTCAGTAATTGATTCTGGGTATTCACACGAATACTTGGAATCACAGCCATTTAAATACTATGCCCTAAATTTAAAATATTCATCCTAGAGAAATTGTATTTTTTTTTATAGAAAGCAGCTATACTCTTTATTTAAAGAAGGCAATGGAATTGCAAAATACTTGCCTTGGTAACAAATTATAAACACCAATTTCCCTCCCACACCTGAATATTTGTTGAGCTGCCAACCTATGCTGTATTTACATTATTATCCCTCTGTGCCAGTTCATCTAGAATCTTTCTTTCTTTCTTCTTTTTATCTATCTCTATCTATATACCTATCTATCTATCTTCCTATCTATTTATCATCAACTGATTAATTTATCTCTGACAAATAACAATTTATATTTATGTGGTATAATATGATGATTTGATCTATGCATAAATTATAGGAAGATTACCCAACGCTAAATGAGCTTATCTACCTCCTCATCATTTTACCATTTTATTTTTTATGGTAAGAACATTAAAAATCTGTAGAGCAATTTTGGAATATATAGTACGATTATTATCTGGGGTTGCAATACAGTCCAACAGCGCTTTTAAGACTCATTCCTCTAGTCAAATTATGCTTTTTGATTGCTCTCTCTCCTTTGATTTTTCTCTCCTCTTTGATTTTTCTCTTGTTCCCATATGTCCAGCTTCTGGTAATAACCCTTCCCTGTTTCTATGAGATTGGTTTTTATAGGTGGCACATTTATGTGGATCACACAATATCTCTCATTGTGCGCCTGGCTTATTTACCTTAAGATAATTTCCTCCAGGTACAATGATATTGTTGTAAGTGACAAAATTACTTTCTTTTAAGAAAGAATATATATGCATATATATATATATATATGCATTCTTTTTTTATTTGATGGGGGCAAGGGTCTACAGGGTGTTCAGGATCTTACTACTAGATCGGACTCATAGTGACCCCCTTGTTTATAGCCTCCCAAGAGCTGGGAGTACAGGTGCCCACCACGCCAGTCTCAGTCGCCATCTCAGGGCACCCCAGGAGTGGGGCCGGCACAGGAAGCCTGGGGATCAAAACCCTGGCACCTGCTCCTGCTTGCCTTGCAGGTACTTTACTCCACTGAGTTGTGTGGCTGGCTCTTCAGCCTGCAATGTTCTTAGGTCCACTGTATGTCACCGTTTTCCCACTAGCTCTTGCTGTACGTTTGTTCTAGCTGCTCCACTTCTCTGTGGAGGACCTGTAGAGTCACTCCATCTCCCTCCCTTAAATGAAAACACATCCAGCTTAGTCTAAAAATGAATTTATAATCTATGTTTTAGGCATTGCATTGATGACAACATGCAATGCCTAAAACATAGCATCAGGTCATTTGGTCTTTAGCACAAAGCTCTAAGGTAAGTCAGCTTCTTCTACAGCACACATGAAAACACTAAGGTAGAGAAAGACATTGTGACAAGTGGCAACTATTAAAATCAGGCCTGACACCCATGTGTTTGCTGCTGGAGTTTTCAATCTGGAGTCTATCAAGAGGGTGGCCCTGTGACCTCCTCACAGGCAGCGTGTGTAATTCACAGCAAAAGCACTGGCTGGGAACTCAGATTCTTGGGTCCTGGTCACAGATCTGATACCAATTGAATGACTTTGGGAAGGCCCCTTAAATATTCAGCCTACCAATTTCTTTGTTTGCAAGCTGAAAGACTGATTTGTCTATTTTTATTTTGCTATTTAATTATTATAGATTCCTAACATATGGCAAGTTGTCAGAAAATATTTAAAAAAATTTTTTGTGTGTATTTGGTACAGGGTCTCAGTACACAACTTGGACTCATAGTGATCCTCCTGTTTCAGCCTCCCCAGCACTGAGATGACAGGCGTGACAGGCGTGGGCCACCATGCCTGGTTTTGGTGGCTGGCTCATTGCACCTGGGGTGCCAGGGATCGAACCTGGGTCCTTGTGCTTGCCTAGGCAGGCACTTAGACCGGTGAACTATCTCTGTAGCCCCTGTCAGGAAATATTTTATGGACTCAAG